TGGGCCAGGACTTTTTTTTGTTGGTAATTTTTTGATGACCTGTTCGATTTCTTCTTTTGTGATGGACCTATTCAACTTTTGCACATCAGTCTTAGTTAGTTTAGGTAAGCGGTGTGTTTCTAGAAATCTGTCCATTTCTTCCAGATTTTCAAATTTGTTGGAGAACAGTTCATAGTATCCTGATATTTTCCTTTTTATTTCTGTTGGTTATGTTGTGATGTCACCCATTTCATTTCTTATTCATGTTATCTGTACTCTCTTCCTCTTTTCCTTTGTTACATTTTCCAGTGGTTTGTCAATTTTATTAATCTTTTCAAAAAACCAACTTCTGGTCTTGTTGATTTTTTCTATTGCCCTTCTGTTTTCTGTTTAATCAATTTCTGCTCAAATCTTGATTATTTCCTTTCTTCTGGTGACTGTAGGCTTTTCTTGCTGTTCTTTTTCTAATTGTTGGAGATGTTGGTTTCAAGTGTTGATTTTGGCTCTTTCTTCTTTTTGGATGTGTGCATTTATTGCTGTAAATTGGCCTCTGATCACTGCTTTTGCTGTGTCCCAAAGATTTTGGTATGTTGTGGTTTCATTCTTGTTCGATACAAGGAATTTTTGAATTTCAATTTTTACTTCTCTTACCCAGTTTTTCTTAAGGAGGGTGTTGTTTAGTTTCCATGTGTTTACTCTTTTTCTGTTGATCTTCCTAGTATTGATTTCTAATTTGATAGCATTATGATCTGAGAAGATGCTTTGCTGTATTTCAATCATTTTACATTTATTAAGGCTTGCTTTATGGCCTAACATATGGTCTATCGTGGAAAATGTTCCATGTGCAATAGAAAAGAATGTATACTGTGCTGTTGTCCAGTGAAGTGCTCTGTAGATGTCTATAAGGTCAAGTTGGTAGATTGTATTGTTTAGCTCTTCTTCATCTTTGTTGAGTTTCTTTCCAGTTGTTCTATCTTTCAATGAAAGTGGTGTATTAAAGTCGCCCACTATGACTGTGGAATCATCTATTTGCCTTTTCAACTCTTTAAAAGTCTGATTTATGTATTTTGGGGCTCTTTCATTGGCTCCATAGATATTTATCATGGTTATATCTTCTTGTTCAGTTGATCCTTTAATCATTATATAATGTCCTTCCTTGTCTCGTATGGTGGTTTTTGTCTTAAAGTCAATTTGATCAGAAATAAATATTGCTACTCCTCCTCTTTTATGATTCTCATTTTCTTGATATATCTTTTACCAATCTTTGATTTTTAGTCTATTTTTGTCTTTATCTCTAAGGTGTGTCTCTTGTAGACAGCATGCTAAAAGGGTAAGGAGGCCACATCTTCTGACCTCCTCTAACTGCACAAGAGGAAGACAGAATCACCATCAGTAACCCAAGACCTATTCCTGCAAGGCCAGACATGTTGCCTCCCTCAGCCCTTTCACCAA